CAAATATTTTCTAACTTTATTTCTCGTTTTCTAGCGAGATTTGCTCGATGCAAATCCTTGCTCGCACACTTCGTATTGAAAATATTCCAAATATTTTCTAACTTTCTTTCTCGTTTTCTAGCGAGATTTGCTCGATGCAAATCCTTGCTCGCACACTTCGTATTGGAAATATTCCAATAATTTCTTTGTTTCTCGCTTTCTAGCGAGATTTGCTCGATGCAAATGCTTGCTCGCGAACTTCGTATTGGAAATATTCAAAATATTTTCTAACTTTCTTTCTCGTTTTCTAGCGAGATTTGCTCGATGTAAATCCTTGCTCGCACACTTCGTATTGGAAATATTCCAAATATTTTCTAACTTTCTTTCTCGTTTTCTAGCGAGATTTGCTCGATGCAAATCCTTGCTCGCACACTTCGTATTGGAAATATTCCAATAATTTCTTTGTTTCTCGCTTTCTAGCGAGATTTGCTCGATGCAAATGCCTGCTCGCAAGCTTCGTATTGGAAATATTCCAAATATTTTCTAACTTTCTTTCTCGTTTTCTAGCGAGATTTGCTCGATGAAAATCCTTGCTCGCACACTTCGTATTGGAAATATTCCAAATATTTTCTAACTTTCTTTCTCGTTTTCTAGCGAGATTTGCTCGATGCAAATCCTTGCTCGCACACTTCGTATTGGAAATATTCCAATAATTTCTTTGTTTCTCGCTTTCTAGCTAGATTTGCTCGATGCAAATGCTTGCTCGCAAACTTCGTATTGGAAATATTCCAAATATTTTCTAACTTTATTTCTCGTTTTCTAGCGAGATTTGCTCGATGCAAATCCTTGCTCGCACACTTCGTATTGGAAATATTCCAAATATTTTCTAACTTTCTTTCTCGTTTTCTAGCGAGATTTGCTCGATGCAAATCCTTGCTCGCACACTTCGGATTGGAAATATTCCAATAATTTCTTTGTTTCTCGCTTTCTAGCGAGATTTGCTCGATGCAAATGCTTGCTCGCAAACTTCGTATTGGAAATATTCCAAATATTTTCTAACTTTCTTTCTCGTTTTCTAGCGAGATTTGCTCGATGCAAATCCTTGCTCGCACACTTCGTATTGGAAATATTCCAAATATTTTCTAACTTTCTTTCTCGTTTTCTAGCGAGATTTGCTCGATGCAAATCCTTGCTCGCACACTTCGTATTGGAAATATTCCAATAATTTCTTTGTTTCTTGCTTTCTAGCGAGATTTGCTCGATGCAAATGCTTGCTCGCAAACTTCGTATTGGAAATATTCCAAATATTTTCTAACTTTATTTCTCGTTTTCTAGCGAGATTTGCTCGATGCAAATCCTTGCTCGCACACTTCGTATTGGAAATATTCCAAATATTTTCTAACTTTCTTTCTCGTTTTCTAGCGAGATTTGCTCGATGCAAATCCTTGCTCGCACACTTCGTATTGGAAATATTCCAAATATTTTCAACTTTCTTTCTCGCTTTCTAGCGAGATTTTCATGGCTGCAAATCTCTGCTCGGCAATTTTGTATTGGAAATATTTTTATAATTCCTCTTTTCTTTTTTTTACTTATCGCTCAATTGTAATCCTTGCTCGCTTATGTGCGAGTAAGAATTTATAGCTTCTTCAAGACACCAGGTTTTCCAAAAGAGGCCACTTCATATTCTGTTGTTTTCTTACTTAAAAAACATGGCTCATTCCGCAGACAGAGGGATGAACAATAAAAAATATGGCCTATTCTTATAATACAAAATGCTATAACACACTAGCACTATATATAGTAGCGCTTCAGATGACACACGTTCCATGCGCGAGATATCCTTAAGGCCTTCATATCCTCCAACATGTAAGCTCCTCCTGCGAGAACCGCTACTACCTTGTATGGGCCCTCCCATTTCTCCATTAGCTTTCCCACCATTTTGAGTGCATCCGCTTGTTTTAAGACCAAGTCCCCCACTTGAAAGACTCTCTGCCTTACTTTCTTGTCATAGGCTGCCTTAATTTTAGCTTTGCTGAGCTCCATCCTTCCTCTCGCGCTCTGTTGCTTTTCCATTACCAAGTTCATCTCCTCGCGCAAGCGCATGCTGTTAGCTGTTTCTTGAAAATTCATAATTCTGCTCGACATCATTCCTACCTCTACTGGAATGATAGCTTCCGACCCGTACACCAACGAGAACGGACTTTCTCCGGTCGCTTCTTTTGGTGATGTTCGATATCCCCATAGTACCGCGTGCAACTCCTCAACCCAATTTCCTTTCGCGCCCTCCAGACGCTTCTTTATTCCTTCTAACAGTACCCGATTGGTCACCTCGACTTGCCCGTTCGCCTGCGGGTGAGCCACGGCTGCAAATCTTTGCTTGATACCCAGACCTGCACACCATCCCTGTATCTTGGCTGAGTTAAACTGTGTTCCATTATCTGAAATGAGGTCCCTAGGCAACCCATATCGGCAGCAGATATTTTGCCATATGAATTTCATGACCTCTGTATCCGTTATCCTGGCCACTGCCACCGCCTCCACCCACTTGGAGAAATAATCTACAGCGACTATTAAGAACTTTCTCTACCCCTTGGCCAGTGGCATGGGGCCTACGATATCTATCCCCCATTGTGCAAAAGGACAAGGGGAAGTTATTATCGTCATATCCTCTCCCGGCGTGTGAATCAGCGGGCCATGCCTCTGGCACTTATCACATCTCTTGACAAACTCTCCCGCGTCTTTTCTCAAAGTGGGCCAAAAATATCCTGCCCTTAGCACCCGCGAGACCACCGCTCTACCCCCTACATGGTCCCCGCAGCATCCCTGGTGAATCTCACGTAACGGCCCTCCTCCAGAGATAGACATCTTAGGTGCGGCCTAGTGTATCCTCTTTTGTGAAGTATATCCCCGATCAGGCAGAAATTGCTTGCTCGCTGTTCCAAGACCCTCTGCGCGCGGCCACTCGCTAGGACCTTTCCTTGCAGACACGCCCTTATTTCCGTCCGCCAATCCTCCCCACTTGTCACTGTTGAAACACGCTCCTCGCCCCCGCTACATGGCTCCCCTACTAGCAACTGTATTTTCCTTGACTCGTATCCCACCGCCATGCTTCCTACCTTTGCCAAAAAATCAGCATGCTGGTTCTCCTCTCGGGGTATTTGAGCTAGCTCGCAAAATTCGAACTCGCCCATCATCGACCGTACTATCTCGCAATAAGCTATCATTCGCTCGTTTTTTATCTCGAATTCGCCCTTTACTTGCTGTACTACTAGCTGTGAATCCGAAAATATGCTCAACTTCGTGCCCCCGGCTGAAGATACCAGCTTCATCCCATGTATAACTGCTTCATATTCTGCTTCATTATTTGAGGCTCTGAAAGGCAACTTTATCGCGTATTCCAACTCCTCGCCCGCCTCCGCTAGCAACACTCGTACTCCACTTCCTGATGTGTTCGCCGAACCATCGACGAACACCCTCTATATTCCTTGCTCCTCTGGTCTCGTCGTTTCCTGCAGAAAATCTGCTAGGGCTTGCCCTTTAATGGCGATCCGTGGCTCGTAGCTGATATCGAACTGTCCCATCTCTACTGCCCACTTAACCATTCTTCCCGAAACTTCCATCCTTCCCATCACTGTCTTCATAGGGTGGTTAGTCCGGACCACTATTGCGTGCGAAAGAAAGTAGGGTCTTAGCTTTCGTGCGGTCGTCACTAGCGCCAGACCCATCTTTTCTATCTCGGAGTATCTCATCTCAGCCCCTCGCAAGAGTTTACTCGCATAATATACCGGGCTTTGCACTCCCTCCTCTTCTCGGGCTAAGACCGAGCTGACTGCGAACTCGCCCACCGCCAGATATACATACAGCTTTTCTCCTGGCGCGGGCTTCGCCAACAGCGGGAGACGAGCGAGAAGATTCTTGAGCTGCTCGAAAGCCTTTCCTGATTCTTCCGTCCACTCGAATTGAGTCCCCTTTCTTAGTATTTTAAAGAAAGGGTGACTAGCTTCTCCCGCCTTAGATATGAATCTACTCAGAGCTGTTATTCTTCCAGCCAGCATTTGAACCTCCTTGATATTTCGTGGGGCCTCCATATCCAAAACCGCCTGCACCTTCTCCGGGTTCACTTCCACTCCCCTTTCTGTTACCATGTAACCCAGGAATTTTCCCGTTTTCACCCCAAAAGCACACTTATTGGGGTTAAGCTTCATGCCGTAGCGTCGGAGCGTGCAGAAGGTTTCTTTTAAATCCTCTAAATGAGTGCTCGCCTTTTGACTTTTCACCAACATATCATCCACGTATATTTCCATGTTCCTTCCGAGTTGGTCCCTGAACATTTTGTCTACTAGTCTCTGGTACGTGGCTCCCGCATTTTTCAGCCCAAAAGGCATTACCGTGTAGCAATAAGTTCCAGTGGAGGTGATGAAGCTCACCTTGGGCTGGTCGCCAGGACACAATGGAATCTGATGGTACCCTTGCGAGGCGTCTATCATACTTAGCATCTCGCAACCGGCGGTTGAGTCTACGAGCTGGTCGATTCGTGGCAGAGGGTAGTAGTCCTTGGGACATGCTTTGTTGAGATCCCTGAAGTCAATGCACATTCGCCACTTTCCCTCGCCCTTCTTGACTAAAACTGCATTGGATAGCCAAGTAGGAAAACGGATCTCCCGGATCTGTCCGGCTGCTAACAACTTCCGCACTTCTTCCTGTATAATTTTGTCTTTCTCTGCTCCAAAATGCCGACGCTTTTGCTTGACTGGCCTCGCATTCTGCCTGACATTCAGTCTATGCACCACAAGCTGCTCGTCGATACTCCCGAGATCTGCTGGGGTGAACGCGAACACATCTTGATTCTGCCTTAGAAACTCTGCCAGCTGTCGAGCCATGTCTGCGTCTAAACCGCCACCTATGCGGGTGGTGCGAGAGGCATCCTTCTCGCATAGTTGAATTACCATTAATTCCTCCATTGGCTTCACGTGGGCTTCTTCTTTTGCGGGGTCTACCTCCGGCATCCGGTCCTTCTTCCCCTAGCTAGCTGGGGAAACACTGCGAATAGTATCTATGTTTCCTATTCTTCTCAAGGCGTCATAATAACACCTCCTCGAGGTCTCTTGATCCCCTCGGACCTCCCCGATTTGATCTAAGACAGGGAATTTCAGCTTCATGTGGTAAGTTGAGACTACTGCTTGAAATGAGTTCATGGACGGTCGCCCCAATATGATGTTGTAGGTGGATGGCGCATCCAGTACCAAAAACTTCACGGATCGTGTTGCTCGCACCGGCTCCATTCCTAGAGAAATGGGCAGGCATACCTCTCCGACCGACCGCACCGACTCTCCCAAGAACCCGACTAAGCTTGTCTCTACATACTTTAACTCGAAATCCATATTCATCTTTCTGAAACAATCATAGTAGATAACATCAGCGGAACTGCCGGTGTCCACTAATATCCTCGCGATATCGAAATTGGCCACCATGGCAGTAATCACAAGGGCGTCAGAATGTGGCTGCCTGATTCCTTCCTCATCCTGGGGACCGAAAATAATGGGCGGCACGTAAGATATTCTTTGCACCTCCTCGAGCTGAGCTTCCATCTCGTACAAGCGCCGGAGGTGCGCACGGCTTGCCCGATCTGCCTCATCTATCTCTCCAAATAACTCCTCAGTCTCTCGCAACTGTCTCAGGTGCGCCCGCCGGGCCCTGATGGAGTCTCCCCCTGAAGGTCCTCCCAAAATCATGCTGATGAAGTTGGCAGGCGCCACCTGGTCCTTCCTCTCATTCAGCTTTTCCCTTCCCGGCTCAGGTTTGCGGGGCTCGCTCGCACGCCGAGCTGGGAACTGCTGTGGGCGCTGGTTCCCTTCTTTCACAAATTCTGGCAGATTCTTCGCGCGTATGAGCCTCTCGATTTTGTCACGAAGGTGCTGGCATTCGTTGGTGGTGTGGCCATAATCATTATGAAAACGGCAGAAACTCCCTAGCGTAGGGCTTCTCTTCGGGGCTTCTGCATACGTGCGAGGCCACTTTAACTTTGGGTTATTCTCTATGGCCAACAATATCTCTCCTGGTTGTGCGACTAGCGGTGCATAGCTGTGAAAACGAGGTCCTATTTTTCTCTCGTTCTGCACCTCCCTTCTCGCCAGTTGAGTCGGCTTCTACATTCTATCCTCTTTCTTTTCCCTTTTTGCCTCTAGGCCGCCCTTGCCCTCGCCAAATTTATTATGCACTGCCTCCTCCGCGTTCATGTATCGCTCGGCCTTTTTCAACAAAGCATTAAAAGATGCGAGAGGCTTTTTCGAGAGCGAAGTGAAGAAATCGCCAGCCCGCAGCCCTTGTGCGAGAGCGCTAATCAAAACTTCCTCTGAGGTAATTGGTACCTCTAAGGTCGCCGAGATGAAACGCTTGATAAAACTTCGTAAGTACTCTCCTTCCCTTTGCCTGACCGCGAACAGAGTCAAGGTGCTCCTCCTTTGCTTTTTTGAGCTCGCGAAGTGATCCATAAAACATGCGCTTAGCTGGTCGAAACCGCCGATTGTGTCGGCAGGCAGCTGGCTGAACCAGGTTTGCGCGGCTCCCGCCAACGTAGTCGCGAAGACTCGACACTTCACTCCCTCAGTGAATCGGTGCAAATCCGAAGTGTTATTGAAGCGACAGAGATGCTCAAAAGGGTCGGTTGTCCCCAAGTATTCGTAAGTGACAGGCCGAAATGAGTGTGGCAGGTCGTCATCCAGAATGTTGGCTGAGAAAGGGCTTAATGCATCGAGCGAAGAACTTGCGCGGGCGGGCCCCTCGTTCCCTCGCCCCACCATCTCCCCCATCCTTCTTTTGGGAGTCGCCGCTTCGGGCTCCTTTAGAGCGCGAACAGAGCCCTCCTGGACAGCGCTCGCCAAGAGTGCCTGCAGGTTTTCCATAGTCATGGCGACCATAGGGCTACCTCCCGTAGTGCCGGTTACTTGAGGCGTCTCCTCTCTCGTGGCAGAGGCCTCTCCGACAGCTGGTTGGTGCTCCGGCGGGGCTGGGGTTGCTTCGGACTCCATCTGACTGGTTAGATCCCTTACTATGCTGGGAAACGAGGCCATTGATAAATGTATACTGATTAACGGAAAATAGATAAAGGTGTTTTAAAGGGAAACGTCGCCACAGCTTTGCTTAACGGTTTCCCACAGACGGCGCCATTTGATCCGATTGGATTCGTGGTGGGCTGGTTTAAAGAACTGAGTAGGCCTGGAGCTTGACCGGGGACCACGGTAAACCAACAAAGGAAGAAAAGAACCGGACTTAGGCCGGAGTTAGCACTCCGACGGCCAAGTCAGTAACTTTCTGAAGAAGATACTATGTTTATGTGCGTAATTTAGGTATGTATGCTTGTTCTTCTCTCTTTTGTTACCTGTACTTCCTGCCCCTATTTATATTAGAAAAAAAAGGACGGACGTCAAATACTCTTCAATTTAATTTACCTGTCCCATCGCGGTAATTAAGCATCCGGACCTCAAATTACCTTCAATGCAGTTTAATCTGTCATTTCATTGGCGGCTGCGGGGGCAAAAAGTAGGGGCCGAAGAGACATTCCTCTGCGCTTGTCAGTGGATTGGACGTGCATTAAATACCCCCATGTGCAGCAATGATCATCTCCGGTCGGGGGCGAGCAGCTTGGCGAGAGATGCGAAGCCTCGCAGGCGAGAGGGTGAAGCTGCTAGGCGAGAGAGTGAGGCAGCGAGAGGCCTCTCGCTCGCGGGCTACTCGCGATCCGTGGCCTAGTTCCTCTCGCCCAACCGGTACCAGTTTGATGGGCCCTCTTCTGTTATTGGGCTTAAACGGTGCCTTTTGACCTCGTTTGGACCTTTGGTCCTTATTGGATCCATCAAGCAATCCCGGGCTGGATCAACTGTATCTTTTTTATCTAGTGTTTTTGTTGTTGTTTGTTAACGCGTATTAAAGTCCTAGTATTGTAGTTCGTGTTTTTATGAACGTTGTTGCGAATGCACTTTTGCGCATGTTTTTTTACATGAACGTTTGTGCATGTCCATTTGAGCGAGTGTGCTTGTGCATGTTTGGGTGATTTGTATTAATGTCCTTGGATTGTAGTTTGCGTTTTCATGATCCTTTTTGCAAATGCACATTTGCGTGAGTACTTTTGTGCATGCTTTTGTACTCTTACTTGCGTGCGTATCTTTCTAGCGAGTGTTTTTGTGCACGTTTCTTGATGCGCATTCATGTCCTCGAACTGTACTATGTGTTTTCATGATCGCTTTTGGAATCCAATTTTGACCATGTTCGAATCCGAATTTTTATTTTTGCCATTAGACAGGAATTGTAGCCAGCTGAATATCTTTCTAATGCCGTCAGAACAAGTTGATTTGGAGTCCGGATGAGAAAGTTATGGTAGACTTTGTGGACGTACACTACTAAAGATGTTGAGGGATTCTCTCTTCTAATTTGATTTTATTTTCCTAATTGCAACTCTTTTCTTTTTCTTTGATCATTTTTGCTTCCTAGACACCTAATTTTTGAATTGTACCCATAAGATACCATATCCACCAATTATAACAGAAATATAAATTAATCCGAAAATAAATCCACGTAAACGTAAACGTAGAGTTTTATTTGTACACTCCACTGTATCTTTTTTACCTAGTGTTTTTGCTGTTGTTTGTTAATGCGTATTAATGTCCTATAATTGTAGTTCGTTTTTTTAAGAACGTTGTTGCGAATGCACTTTTGCGCATGTTTTTTTACATGTACGTTTGTACATGTCCATTTGAGCGAGTGTGCTTGTGCATGTTTGTTGATTTGCATTAATGTCCTAGGATTGTAGTTTGTGTTTTCATGATCATTTTTGCGAATTGACTTTCGCGTGAGTACTTTATGGCATGCTTTTGTACTCTTGCTTATGTGCGTATCTTTCTAGCGAGTGTTTTTGTGCACGTTTCTTGATGCCCATTCATTTCCTTGAACTGTAGTACGACGTTTCATGATCGCTTTTGGAATCCAATTTTGACCATGTTCGAGTCCGAAGTTGGATTTTTGCCGTTAGACAAAAATTGTAGCCAGCTGAAATAGCTTTCTAATGCCGCCGCAACTAGTTGATTTGGATTCCGGATGAAAAACTTATGCTCGATTTCATGGACGTACACTACCAAAC